GGAAAAAGTCCTATTCTTGGAGCCACCAGGAATAGCCGCACACCATAGGATGTAGCTCAACAGGAGAGAGATGGCTGCAAAACAAGCAATTTCCTCCTTCCAACTCACCTTCCAGCCCTTTTTCTGGATACAAGCTTCTTTAAAAAGCATCTTGTACTCACTACTTAGATTTAGTTTGCACTCGAGTACTCAGGCTTAGATTTAGTTTGTCCTGCTTTAAGGCACGGAGACGGACTACATCAACTCCGGAAAACCTTCCCAGGCCAATTTTCTGTAATTCTGACCCTGAATCGGCCCGAGGGCTGGCACAGAGCTGGGCAGCGGGTCAGCAATTTGCATCTGGCTCCCTTTCCCAGCCCTGAGCATTTCAGTGCAGCAGCCACAACTTCTATTAGTTCACCCATGCCTGTTGTTTTTGTGTCATGCTCTTGCAACAGGAGGTGGTTGTGATTCACTCGCTTGGTTTATTTGGTTTGTTTTTCTTTTTCAATCTGCGCAGAGCAAAAAATCTTTTCAACCAACATTTTATGATACCAGCATCACCTACCCTGTGAAAATGAGCCGTCTGCAGAAAATAGCGTTGCTGGGAAAGTGAGAAGCTTTCTCCTGGAAATGTTGATGCTCTGAGAGCTTCATGTGAAACTGTCCTACAGAGATGCTTCACAGCCATGGGGACCGTGGCTCCAGAGAAGACAGTGCCGCTGTCACCGAGGAGTAAAAGCTGGTGCTAGCACCACAGTCTCTCATTTTGCCGCCACTCCCAATCGGTACGAGTTTGGCCTCATCTCTGGTCAGCTCTCCTCTTCCCTTGCTAGCTGAACACAGCACTGTTGCACCGGTGGGCACGAAGAGCTCCTAGAAGAGCTCTTACAGCACTCAGAGGTGCTTGCCGGCACAGTTTTCCCATGGCAAGGAGAGGCCGCTGAGCTTGGCAAAGCCCAGGAGCTACTATAGACAGCGTGGGCAATTTCCAGGAACTGCCATTTCGACTCCCACCCCGTGACCCAGGGCAGGCTAGAGCCAGTTTACCCAGTTGAGGCAGCCAAAGGTCAAGTATATAATCTTTCTTTTCCCCTGCGGGACCTGCTTATCTTCTGTGAGCTACAGACCAGCTCAGAACCCGTCCCCTCCAGTTGCCAGCCTCATCTGTTAATGAGAAAGAGGGAATAATTAGACTGTCAGACCCCATCCTGCCCCAACGTGTAAATGCAGCGGGCAATCAAAGAGGGGCTGTGAGTTTGTCTTGGATCTACGCACGTGCGAGTAAACAGGGACAAGACAATCTTAAACATGGCAGTAGCTAAAAATTATTCCTGTTCTGCACCAAAGGCCCCAGGCTATAGGAGCCTGACCCAGCCCTCAGGCTCCTTGCTGTCCTCACTGCACTCCTCCGCTCTCCTGATGCTCAGTGACTTTCCGGTCATGAGCCAGCCAGCCTGGGATGCCACCCTCCTGCTCCGTACAGAGGGGCTGTATCTGCCCGCTCTGTCACCCGGACAGCTCTGCCCAGCCCTGGGACACAGCGGCCTCTGTCCCCGCAGAGAGATCAGAAGGGTAAACACGATATCTGCACTGACAAGCAAAAGCTCAGCGTGGGATGTGAACGCACCTTTTTCAAAGCAAAGCCCAGCTGGTCAGCGTTTAGTTAGAAAAATACGTGGAGGCAGGGGGAGGACAGAAATAAAAGGGAAGATAAGCAAGAACACAGTCTGCAAGGTTGAAGCGCTTGCTTCTGCGCCAGCCCGGGCTGCTAAGGCCGAACTCACTCCCGCTCTGCAAATCTCAACAGATAGGGAACTTGCCATTTACAATGTGCCTTTGTTAGGACACTGGGGAGGGTAACAGCCAGAAGAGACCCTGACCCATCTGCGTGTGGGTCAGCTGCAAAGGGGAAGCGGGGCAAAGTCCTTGTCAGTAAACAGGATCTTAAGCACTTTAGATATGGCCAGTGGTCTGGAGCTGACCTCAGCCCTTTGCTCCGAGTGTCCTTCCCCTCAGAGGAAGAAATCCTGCAGAGTCAGAGGTGCTTTTAAACAACTGCGTACCCAGCCGGACCCGAGAGCCGGTCACCTGTGCCGGCTGCTGGGGGGGCTCCAGGGATCCCTCACCTGCCTTCGGTGGCAAATGCTCCCAAGCACGCGCTGAAACGGGGCTGATGTTGGGGAAAAGCGTACCCCTTCCTTACCCCCTCCTGCGCTGCGCTGTGGCATCAGGAAGGCAAAATAAAGGCAGATCAGCCTGCAGCCGAGGCCTCGGGGCTGGCGTTATACGCGCTGCATCCATAGAAAGGCAGATCAGCAGAGCATGGTGCTCCAGCCACCCACTGCCGCAAGTCCAAGTCCCCAGGACTGTGAAATTACTTAAACCCAGGCAGCTCCAAGCACCGAGACAGGCCAACTTGGTTTCTTTGTCTTCAGATCTGAGCTCAGGATCGTGCCACCTAAGCCCAGCTACATTTTTTTTCCAGCTCGCAATGTCCCCTCACCTATTTCTTGCTACGAAACTGGACCACGAGGGACCGCGGGGCGAAACAGCAGAGTAGTTCAGGCTGCCGGCAGCGAGGCCAGGGCTCTCTCCCCGGCTCTGGTGGGGTGCTGGTGAGGGGAGCAAGGCTGAGAGATGAAAGGGCAGCTGCAGCTTTGCTCAGCACCAATTTCCTCCTCTCCCCCAGCGCCGCAGCCCAGGGAGGGGTCCCACACACGTCCTCTTCCCTCCTGGAGAGAGCTGGGCTCCGGCCAGCACCAGGAGTATCTCCCTTCGCCCGCAGGGCTGTAACGTCTCTAGGTGTCTTTGCTGAGGCTGCCATACCTGGTGCTGGTGATGGGGTGTGGGACGTAAGAAATTTAATTAAGTGAAGAGCTGCCA